CCCCAAAACCCCAAAACCCCATTTTGGATTATCTTAAAACAATGAAATTTATTATTAAAAAAATCGTATTAATATAACTGTAGAAACTTATATGCTAATTCCAATTATAATAAATCTTAATAAATTTTAATGGAAATTGTTAGTGCTAGTGTAAGTGTAAGTTAAGGAAGCTTTGAGCCATATGAGGAATCAACTACGAGATCTAAATCACAATAAGTAGCTTAGGATCCTGAAATAGCAATGATAGGTGATGACTCTGAAGGGTAAATTGAAAGATCGCTATACTACTTTAAGCCACCAAAAGGAACACCCAAAAAGTATATTGATAGTATAAAAAGAGAATCAAGCAAGAATCTTAAACTTATAGTTAAAGGCATAATGTTTGTGGAAAAATAACTTAAATACTTGGATGGGGAGGAAGAGCAAAAAAATGATTCTTTTTCTATCAACCCATTAGACCAGTTTTACCCAGAAAAATCAAGAAATAAGGATAGCAGCATTAAAGTTAAAGCAGATACATCAAAACTGCCATTTATACCTGCAATAAAGTTAGAATAGATTAAGATAATGTCCTAGACGCAAAGTGATAATAATTTCAAAGAGATTTTGTAGTAGTACAAGGAAGAATTCAAGCAAGTATTTAAAGGGTTTGATTCTAAAATAGATCCTAAGTCTATTCAAGATGATATAAAAAAACAGAAAAGCAATCGTTACTATACTCTCATGAAAAACATGAAATATGTTGGTCATATGAATCCATACAAGAGAAACAATCCTGATCTAGATGAATTAAGAGGTAAATTAGAAGGAGAATAATTTGCTAAAATTTAGAAAAAACTTGCTAAAATAGATTAGGATAAAAATTAAATTCCTGAGGAAAATCACTAGCTAATGATACCTGATTCATAAGATGCAAATATAGGTAGATCTAATTCATTACAACAGCTCTTTCACAATGAGGTAGAATCAAACAGAAGAACTTCAAAAAGGAATCTGACATCAAGAAATACCAGCCTTAGCCTGTAAAAGAAAATCAAGCAAAATTAAAGTATTGATATGATCTATTTTGACTCCAAACTTAATTCCTCTAGAATTCCACCAAAAGTTTACAGACTACATGAATCAACACCTTTGCATGAGACTAAATTAGTCAGTCCCTATACAATCAAAGATATTACTTAGAAAGACTCTGACATAAAGAAGGTGTTTGAGTAGATTGCTCCTGAAAAATTCAAAAAAAAGAAAAAAATCTTCAACCAAGTGAAGAAGATTAAAGAAGAGAGCGAGATAAATGTTAGTGATGTTGATTATAGCCCGAATTACTCCTAAACTAAGAAAGCATATCAAAGAGATGTGTCTTAAATATTTACATAAAAGTTCATCTCAGAAATGAACACCAATGAAAAGCAAAACCTTGACTAATCTATGAATAATATGAAAATAAAATCTCGTAGAGAGAGTAAAAATGCTACAAATATGAGCTACAATCCTGATTACTATGATATGAATTCTACCTTTAGACAGGATCATAGTCTGAATCTCAGTAAGAGTAAATTCAATCCTAATTAATCCCGCTTCAATCTTAAATCTGTGCTTAAAAATGCTAAGTCTCTAAAAACTATTGAAAAAATTGATTCCAAGCTAATAAAGCCTTTCATTACACCTAAAGATGATGCCTTGAGTGTGCTGAAAAAATTCTAGGATTTGCATAGATATAACATGCATAATACTATGAGAAAGATAAACACAATGGGTAGGAAGGAATTTAAAGCTTAAGAAGATCTCACGTACGAAGACTTCTATCTCAAAAATAAAAATACAGTTAGTAAATAGTTAGATGAAGATCATAGCATGTCAAAATTTAGACTAGATGAAAAAAAAATTCCAGAAAAACTTCTCAATTAGATGGTTTATAATGTTGAAAGAGATAAATTAGAATAAAAACAGAGAAACTTATAGGAATTAACGTTGGAGATATAAAAATCTCTTAATAAATCGCAGTCTAATATTAATTTACCAAATCTCAAACTACCAATGATGAGTCCTACTTCAAAATAACCAGAAATTCACAATTAGTATGTTAAATCATTGAATCAGTCCCTTGATAAAATTTAGTCTGTAAGTCCAAAGAAAAAGATAGTTGAATTTGGACCTTTATCATTTTACAAGTTTAAGGACATGTTTCCAAATAAGAAGTAAGATTATGATAAAATGGTGCAAGACCCTTAATTAGTTGGATCAGAATAAACATTGAAAAGTTACAACAAAGTCTTGAAGCATGTGCTCTCTGATACTCATAATCTGATTGTTGAAAAGAAACTTAAGGAGAGAGACTTGTAACTCAGAGAACAAGAAAAGCTTGTTGAATTGCAGTTAAAACATAAAAATGTAGATTAAGAGTAGGATAAGCAATAAGAGGATAGGATTAAGCAAATATTTAAAAGATAACTTAAGCTTCTTCAAAAGAATCCACTCTATCAAGTAAACTATAAAAGAGAACATACCATTCAGGATTCTAAGATTGTTAGAGAAAATGCTATACTTGATGCTAAGGTTATCAAAATGCAAAATCAGTAGAATGACGACTCATAAATATCAGAATAAATGGAAAAAAGAGATATGTTTCTAAATAGAGCTCACAAACAAGATAGGAAGAGATTCTTACTGGAGCATAAAATTATCAATAGATGAGCTAGATATTAATATACTACTACTACTAATTTAACTTTATTTCATAATATAAGAATAGATATAATTTAGTTCTTGGGGTTTTGGGGTTTTGGGGTTTT